GGATCAAAATATGAAGATATAAAATATCCAAAATGCATATTAAGTGAAAAATAACATTGTGGAAGAGCACAGTTATCACAGACTCTTTTATGTAGAATAGTCTGTGCATGACTATTTTGAGATAGCACCTCTGAGAAGAAGCATGGAGCACTGGAAAGGGAGGAGTTACACTCTGCTTCTCTTAGAGGCTGTATAAACACTTAACTGCTTTTTCTGCTTCAGTGTACTGTTTTAAAATATCAATGATGGCGTGAATTTTCATCTGCTCTCTGACTTCTGATCTAGCAGCATGTAGAATGCAAAATTAAGATGGTTGTTTTTAAGTATACTATAGGATTATGTGCCTCATAAGACCAGAATCCTTGTTTTCTGTATCAGGCCCAGCCTATTTAGGATGACCTAAATCATTCTTTGTATAAATGTTACCTGTAGACTTTGACTCCAAACAAATACTATGCTGCTCAAAGACATCCTTATTCTCTGTACTAAGGTATACGTTTTCTGAGGGGAGAAAAGTTACTATATTTATCTTTAATAGTTTCAAGCTGCATCTACTCCAACAAATTGTGGGTTTCAGAGACATAATCTACATTTCCCCCAAAGATAACACAAGTCAGTAGGTCTTCTGATATCAGTTCTTCATGAATTTAACTTGTCTCCTTTTTCCCAGAGAGAAAAAAGAAAATTAAGATTACACATCTGTGCAGAGGTACCTAGGATTTCTGAATTGACTAGGGCATCTAAGAACTCTGGACTCTCCAGCTACAGACCAACTAGTGGCCACTCCCTGCTTGGCCACTCTCCCATTCAAATCTCTCCAATCTTTATAATTCCATCAATACTTTGCAGCTTTTATATAAAGCCATCTCTTTATTTTTCAGTTAGTCAAACCTTGTTTACCATTTGAGAATGGGTAATTCCTATTAAGTCAATAAGTACTACACCAGACTTTTAGATCAAAGTAACTTATTCTTAAGGTTACAGCGTACTTCCTTTTCCCCAAATATTTATATTTTGTGCAGTTGTCACTGACTAGTGCCCACAAATCTTACGTACCAAGGAAGTCATCAATAACTCAACACCACTCTAGCATTAACATTGAGCATCTCACATTGTCTTAAAGGTTAAGATTAACAGCCTCTCCTTTCTCTGTAAAAATACTTGTAGTTCTAAAAATTCAACATGCCATTTTCTAGTCACATAAATTACAGAATGCTTTGAATTATTGAAAGAATAATAAATACCGAGAGTTACATATTTTCATTGATAATCAGAGAAATGCATCTATTCTTTTAAAGGTAAAACCATTTTTGCCTACATTATTGGAAAGGATTTCTAAAACGAGTTAGTAGTATTCAGTGCCAGGTGACACTAGTATCCCCACACAGCTAACAGGAAATATCAGAACAAACTCCCTGAAGATTATTTTTAACCCAAAACATATTTCTAGAACCGTAAAAAAGAACCTTTACCCTTATAAATCTCTCCCTAGGAATATAAAGAAAGTATACTGTCAGAAATATATGGATTTATGTTCTTTCATCCTCACTAAAAGATTATATATGAGGGAAGGAATTAGAAAAAATATAATGAGCAATAATCAGAAAATAATTAAATCATTATTTACAGAGCCATAAAAACTCTTGTACTTCAAAATTCAATGACACAGGAAATGCATGGTCCAATGTTAAATGGAAAAAAATGAAAGAGGATAATAGTTTTGTTGAAATTATGCAGTGGTTATATTTATAATGAGCATACACTCTTACACAGATGAAAATCTAAAAATGTTACTGTTACTCCTGAGCCATACAAGATATGATGAACCTTATAAACTTTTTGTATACCCATTTCTTTATGTTGGACATGCATTATTCCTAATACTCATTAGGATGGGCTACTCTCAAAATAACAAATTGATTGTGAGGATGTGAGAAAACCAGAACCCTTGTGGACTGCCATTGCTATGTAAAATGGATAAGCTACTAGGTCTCCATAACATTACAAACAGGATTATGTTGTTACCTAACTATATTTCTGGTTACATATCCAAAAGCAATGGAAGCAGGGTCTTAGAGAGATGCATGCCCTTTAGCACAGCCATAGGACTCAACAGCCAAGAATCAGGGGCAACCCTAGTGTTTACTGACAGACAAATGGATCAAAGAAGTATGCCTATCCATGCAGTAGAATAATATCCAAGATTAGAAAGAAATCAGATTTTAATATAAGCTATATAATGTTATCTGATAAACTATGTCCCATGTCCCAGAATGCACATGCCGGAGGCTCTACAATACTTTAGGATTTGACTGCAGAGGGGCAATTAAGTTCAAATGGAGTTGTCAGAGCGGGTTCTAATCCAATCTGACTGGTGTCCTCATATGAAGAGGAGATCTGGACACAGACACCAGGGATGCCAGCACACAGAGCAAAGGCCATGTGCAAAAGCAGCAAGAGGCCAGCCACCTGCAAGCCAAGAGCACAGACTGCAAAGGAAACTGAGCCTCGTGACATCTTGATCTTAAACCTCCAGCCTTCAGAGCGGGAAGAAAACAAGTCACTACCATTCAAGCCAAGTGGCCTATGGCATTCTGTCAGCATGAGTCTCACGGTGCATACAGTATAATGGGCTCTGAGAACACTATGATGAGTCAAATAAGCCAGACACAGACAGACAGACAGGATGATTCTACATATACACCGTACCAAAATAGTCAAACTCAATGTAACAGAAAGGGAAGAGTGGAGCCAAAGGCCAGGGGAGTGGGAAATGAGCACGCACGCGTCTAATAAACACGGTTGCTGTTTACAAATGAGAAATCCCAAAGACTGGTTCCACAACAAATACTGAACTGAACAGCTTAGAACATCTAAACAGGAGAGAGTTGGTAAATTTTACATGGTATACAGAAAGACAGTTACATACTAAAATAGTTTTGATACGTGCATGAGGAGAATTAAAGCTACAGCAATGTGAGCAGAACAACAAAGAGTACGGACTGACCACCAAAACCAGTAAATAAATAAATACATATATTCCTGCACTGTGGGCTAAACAGCTCTGTAATACATGTCCTGTTGCTGTGACCTAACACCTGACCAGAGCAATTCAAGGAAGGAGAAAGCTTATTTTGGTTCATGGTTTGAAAGGATCTAGTCCCTCCTGACACAGGCAGCACAGAGTGAAGAGCATCATTGGTTCGCCTTGCCCAACCACCTTCCTCCCGACTGCCCTTTTATGCAGTGTGGGTCCCTCCATGAGGTTCTGCCCTCACTCAGGGTAGGCCTTTCTTCATCAGTTACTCCTCTATGTAAACAGGCTCACAGACACACTCTCAGGTAGATCTCCTTGGTGTTTGGGATCAAAGTACCTTCTCAAAATGTTCCAACCATAGTCGGTCCTTGTATTTTACTTATCAGGGCTTTTTTTAAAAAAAAATGTTTTTACATACATTATAGTTTGATCGTGTTCTTTCCCCTCTGAATTCCTCCTAGATCCTATCTACCCAACCTCATATTCTCATTTATTCTCCCCTCCATCCCTAAAAGAAAAATCAAAATAAACAAAGTACCAAAACAAAACACACACACAAATGGAAACCCCATTTTGTGTTAACCAACTACTCTGAAATAAACATTAACCATAACACCTAGCATAGCTCTCAGGTTCTATGCATATGTGCATGGGAAGTATACAAGCACAGGTATGCAAGTACACACCCATACATTCATGAACAGGTGCCAGGGCACAATGTCCTGCTCTATCACGCTATGACTTATTCCCTTGAGACTGGAGCTTGATGGTTAGGATAGACTATAGATTGTCAGGCCAGTGAGCCACAGACCTCTGTGTGTGTGTGTGTGTCTCTGTCTCTCTGTGTCTCTGTCTCTGTCTCTGTCTCTCTCTCTCTCTCTCTCTCTCTCTCTCTCTCTCTCG